CTAGATGTATTTTATTTTATATTTCAGAACTGTTTCCCTTAACTGCATTGTATTTTAAATTTTCCAACCGTCTTAACTAGCTGGGATTTTTTTTATCAATTCTGCTCACTGTATTTTATTTTAAAATTTCCAACCATCTTCCCTAGCTGTATTTTATTTTCTATTTTACAACCGTCTCCACTAGCTGTATTTTATTTTCTATGTTCCAACCGTCTCCACTAGCTGTATTTTATTTTCTAGTTTAAAACCGTTTCTCCTACCTGCATTCTATTTTAAAATTTCCAACCGCCTCTACTAGCTGTATTTTATTTTCTTTCTTCTAGCCGTCTCCACTAGCTGTAACTTTTTTCTATTTTCCAACCATCTCCTCTAGATGTATTTTATTTTATATTTCAGAACTGTTTCCCTTAACTGCATTGTATTTTAAATTTTCCAACCGTCTTAACTAGCTGGGATTTTTTTAATCAATTCTGCTCACTGTATTTTATTTTAAATTTTCCAACCATCTTCCCTAGCTGTATTTTATTTTCTATTTTACAACCGTCTCCACTAGCTGTATTTTATTTTCTATGTTCCAACCGTCTCCACTAGCTGTAATTTATTTTCTATTTTACAACCATCTTCCCTAGCTGTATTTTATTTTCTATTTTACAACTATCTTCCCTAGCTGTATTTTATTTTCTATTATACATTGGTTGTTCTTTGGGGGAGATTTTCATTTCCTATCTTCACTTGGTTTGTTTTGTTTTTGTGTGGGTTTTTTGTCGGTTTTATGGCTCCTTGTGTATTTTGTTTTCGAGCAGTTTATTTTGAGCTTCCATTTCTGACAGTAATTGTGGAACCTCTTGAGGTCTTCATTTAATTTCCCTGGGGTTAGGGGTTAGGGGTCAGGGGTTAGGGGTTAGGGGTTAGGGGTCAGGGGTTAAGAATGCCACCACTGTGCCTCAGTAGTGGGCACTATAAAGCAGTAGCATGGATGGGAATTTAATGACGTATACTTTAACATTAAAAATGAGCACAATTGTCATGTTATGGGTTTTGTACATTTGCATACGCTATGCCAAACCCCATGAGCTTAATTCCAGGATTTTATACTTTGCAATGTATTCATTGACGCTTGTTCATAAAAGACAAACTTGTGGGTGGTTGGCGGGTGATCTGGTGTGGTTTGCTCCTTCTTTCCTATCAAACATCTGTCGTCTGTATCTCCCCTCCTTCTTTTTTGTGTATGTTACTCTCTTGTATCACCTCTAATCTTCGGCACTTATATGACCTTATTGTGTTGCAAGTGCCATAAAACTCTTACTAAAACTAAACTAAAAGATAATCTTCCCTATGCTATGTAACGCTCTCGTTATTTTTCACTAACTAGTCTTATATCTAGATGCTTAGATATTCTTATTTTAATGTCTAAAGGTAGGTAGTTCGTTTTTCTTCGTCTGATCCACCAGGTCGAGTGGCTGAGAGAAAATTTCTTAAAATGATTTTGAGAGTGTGAAGGGAAGGACAATGTTTTGTAGACACAGAGGTCTGGACGAGATGAGCTGACTGTCGCTGAAGTTGTGGGCTCGGTGGTGTCGGCGTCTGACAGGCGACAACGACGTGATCAAACCACTTACTTAA